TCTTTTTGATGTTTACTATATTCGTCATTGATCTTTGTATCGTACATTTATGTAAAAAAGTTACAAAAATCTTTTCTTTTAGCTGAAGGATGAAAATACAAATTGAGTCTGTTAAGATAAATGATTGGTTGTTGGTTGCTTAACGTCCAGTGGCAAATATTTCATGCATGTTCAGCACGAGAACAAATTTAAAATAAATACAATAGGTAGGTCCTGTAATATATAGAGGTCGTCTGGGATGAAGGTCAGGAAAATTTGGACTTACACTGGAAAATGAGGGTATATATTGGATAGGAACTGAAATTTTGCCTTGCAACAGGCCACATACGGACCCCTCAAAGAGAGGTTGCAGGGCTTTTTAACGTGCAAAAGGCGGGACACTCTTTTTAAGCGAGACATCGGATTTAACGTCCCCATTCTGACATCGGACGTCGGACGTGACATCCGGCACAACCAAACGGACGCCCCACTTTTGCAAGGGTTTTACTGTCGGTCGGAAGAAGACTAAGAGTGGCCATATTTCTATTCCCCAGTCACCCTTGGGTTAAGAAGATTTTATTAAGCCACAAAACATTTTCTTTAATAACAATTTTTTTTTTTTAATTTGCGACAATCGCTTAAACCGGCATTTGTCAACTTAATTGTACGCATGATCTGCTATGTAATACACAATGAGGTTTTATCAATATGCTGAAAGACAGATGCTTATGTTTGGTCGATTGGTCTTCAATAATGAAAATACGAATAATATGTTTAAAATTACACGTAGGCCTTCGACATTTTGACTGAGTAAGGATTCGTCTCATTTGCCGATTCTCTCAACTGTTTTCACTTGATTTGTATTTCCGAAAAAAAAAACCTTTAATTCAAAATGGATTTACGAGATTGGAACATCAGTGAACTACTGTCGCCTTTGATTGACCTTAGCAGCAGACATTGGCCCTGGCAACGCACCGGTCTCAACCCTTTTGGAATTCCCTCAGTTGTTTTCATGTGATTTGTATTTCAAAATGGATTAACGAGATTTGAACATTGATAAACTACTGTTGTCTGTTATTGAATGAACATAATAAACATGAATGCACACCATATACAGACGATTTGAACGCAAATAATGAAGAATAACGAAACACATCATTAAATTGTACGAGCACATCTATATAGCAAAGTGCACACATGCTTTAGAGCAGGGTGCACACAATATAAAGACATCTGCACATCATATAATGTGGTTTCCATTAAAAAGAGAGAGACACCAGTGCATAATATATGGTCAAAATATTATCATATAATGGAAAAAAAAACCATGTAATGAAATTGGGTGTAATATCAAGTGTCCAGTGTTTTGACAAAATATTTAGATATTTGCACGTCATATAATATTTTGTCAAGCCAGTGGACATCATATAAAGATGATTAAACTTCATAATGTAATGTCGTTTCCACATGATACAAGGACAAAGTGAGACCGTATAACTGAAAAAGAAACTAGAAAGAAAACAAAGGAGAAATATAAATACATGCTAAATTCAAATATATAAGTTCTTAGAACATTTATGTCGTTTCCCACTTGTACAGGTCAATCATTCATTATATTACATAAGGTTTGAAGTTTCTTGTTTCTCATTGGTTTATGTGGTCACGTGTTTCCCAATATATATTTTGTATTTTTTCACTATTTTGACATATTGACTAGACGTTACTATTTTTTAAAAAGATATTGACTCCATGTTACTAAAAATAGTAACATTGAGCCAATATCATTTCTAAAAATAGTAACATCGAGTGAATATCATTTTTAAACTTACACTATTTACATATGTTATATATAAATTAAGGACTTTCACTCAGTCAATACGTTATATATGGACCTGTTAGATTAAATTGAACCTCGGACTTGGTATAACCTACTGACCTCGTGAAAGTCTGTAATTGATAAATGCCTATCTCCGCCATCCCCGCTCCCCGTGTCAAGAAATTGTTTTTTCGAAAATTTATTCTTATAAATCTATAACTTGCACACACTTAAATCATGCATGCATTTGAAGTTGTTTTAGACAATCCCTTAGACTAAAGATGTTTTTTTCGTCCTTAAGGTAGATAGGGTGTCTTCCTCCATCTTGGATTTTGTAATACCTGAAAACAATCGGTCTAGATCTTTAATAGAATGTGCAAATTTTGAGATTAGTAGGTAATTCATGTGTAAGAATTTTCATTTCAATATAGAAAATGACATGTTTTATCATATTTATGGTTGTATTTTACAAAAAACAGAAAACTTTTGTTTGATTCAATTTTTTCCAACTTTGCCACATAAGGGGAGGCAACTCAAATGTAAGGGCAGATTATTCAGATAAAGGTACTTTTACAAAAGATTGTGTTAGGAATTTACCTAATTTATTATGTAGCAAGAAAACGGGTCTGGTGACCCCATTTTTTCTTTTTCTTATCTGAAAGCATACTATTAAAGCTATCTTCTCATATTTTATCTCAAAATTCTATAGTGTAGTTTTTGTTTTATGGCAGAAAATTGGGTTTTCCATGCATAATCTATACAAAATCTGTTAATTTTTAACAACCTGTAGCGTGAAAATAAGCCCCGTGACCCATTCTTTTTATCATTTTTTTTTTTAAAAAGCTTGATATAAACTACATTTTGGCAAATTATTAAAAAATTCTATGGATTAATTATAATTTAGACACCCCATCTACCTTAACTATAAGATAAGGTTTACAAACAGGAGGCTCCCAAGAGTCTGAATCGCTCAACTGGTAAAGCATATGCCATTTTAATATCTTTTTTTTTTCTTTCATTGCAATCAGTTATATAGCAAAAAGGTCAACAAACTTTCAAGAGCGATAACTCCAATTAGCGGTCAATTAACAATTTCGGCCAAGTTGACTTATTTGTAGATCTTATTTTGCAGGATACGTTTGCTTATTACAATTTCTCTATATCTATTATCATGATTAGAGTTTCTACAAAAACACGAAACTGAGTAAAAATATGTGTCTTTCGAGAGCAATAACGATATGTCCATCTTGACATACTAGCTTTTAGATCTTATTTTGTTGAGAACATTTTTACATCTGAAAGATTCTCTTAAACAACATGAACAACTATAGTTTTCTTAAAAAATGCAAAAAGGCTAAAAATAATGATTTAAAGCCAAAAACTCCATAAGGGGTCATTTGACGATTTCTGCCATGTTTACCTATTTGTAGATCTTACTGTTCTTGACATTTTACTGCTTAAAATTTCTCTCTATCTGTTATAGTTTTCAAGATAATAACCAAACTCAGCAAAACATATAAAAAAGCGACATTTCAGGGGCAATAACTCCAAAATGAGTTTTTCGATTTTTCATATAATTTCGGAGAAGATAGACATTGAGCTGCTGATCAATTCTAGCCAATCAGATATGCTGTAACTGGTTTAGTTTTTGAGATATAAGTCAAAGACTTCCAAATTTACTAAAAATTGGTTTTTAGGGGCAGTAACTCCTAAATGGTTTGTTTCATTTTTCTGAAAAATTCCGCCGGTGATAGACCTTGTCCTGTGGATCATTTTTAACTATGTCAGATTTGCTCAAACTGCTTTAGTTTTTGAGAAATAAGCCAAAAACTGCATTTTATCCATATGTACTATAAGCAACGGCGGCGATGTTTGATGATGATCAATTCCATTCTAGTCAAATTTGATCCTACTACTTATGTTTTGAGACAACGCCAGGTAACTTGTTTATATACTAGAATTCCCAAATCAAACCGACCATTAAGTAAAAAATCCGGAAAGTCAACAGAAGTTCGTGGATCGTGATGAAATTACAGTGTCACGCTTTATAAAACTCTAAAATACAGTTATCTTTGTAGACATCGCTATGGAAACATGAAGATGAAAATGTAATGTTCACAAAATAGTATTTCTATTCCCCAATTTAATTTAATTTATTTTTTTATATTTCATACATGAATATAAATTTGAAGAGCAATAATTTTGGGCGAAAAGTGCTGATATTTGATACTTTTATATTTGAAAGTAAAGAGATAAACCCATATATTTATAAAACATGTTTTTTTGTATTCTGCTCCCGTTGTTATTATTTTATCTACGTATTCTCTTTTTTATTTTATTCTTATTTTTATATGTCTCTGTTTTATCTTTGCTTTTCTTGAAACATTCATGCAGGTATTAAAGAAAATTGAGCTTGTACTTATTTGATTCCGGGAACAGTATATCAAACAATATATTTGTTCCTGGTTGATTTTCTGTTTCTGAAACGGTTATAACACAAAATAGCAACACTTAGTACAGACATGATTTATAACAAACCTTTTTAAACGTGTTGTTTTCTTTTTTTTAGAGTGACAGAGGGAGTCTGATAAACTAAACGATTATTATAAATGTTTAAAAATAATTCATTACTGAAATTAATATTTGCAATGTTTTAAATACATTAATGTGGATCGAGGGGTCTAAAATAATTTTGTTTGTAAATAGATGCAGTGGTCGGTCTAGATTTTTACTGAAATTTGCAAATTTTATGCAGAAATGGAATTTATTTGTGAGCTTTTCGTTTAAATGAGATAAAATAAAATGTGTTTTTTCTTATGGTTACTCCTTTTTATTTTACACAAAAAGAAAATGTTTTCTTCGATTCAAAATTTTGAAACTTTGTTATATCAGCAGAATTAAATCAGAAAATGTATTTTTATAAAGAAATGTAGAGTAAAACCTATAGTTTAATTTGGCAAATTAAAAAAAACACTCAGTAAGATGACCCCAATTTTCCTTTTTATTATTTGAAAGCTATCTTATCATATTTTATTTGAAAATTTTATCGCTTAGCTTCCTTTCTATTCACACAAAAGTGTTTCTTCATGTAGTATAATGATAATAATCATTTTTATTAAATAGAACTGAAAATCTCTGGGTAACTGTTACTTTCCGGATTTTCATCGGACTTGCTCCGCAGAATTTTTGTATTACATGTACTTTGTTTACATCCGGCATTCTGTTGCGAAAAATTTCATCAGATATCATATTTATTATATTAGATGTGTTTTATGATAAAAAGTACATACCAGCTTTAAGTGCACAGAAATATAGGTAACAAACTGGTTGTATTTTACAATATCGATGTATATTTTGCATGACAAAGCACAGAATTGCTATCTAACAGTCTTGCATTTGCCTTTTTTTTCTTCTAACTTCCTATAAATTTGCAAAGAAAAATTGTCTTTACGCCTGGTAAAACATAAAATATCAACCAATATGTTAAGCAGGTAAAACCTCTACTAGGAATTCATGTTTTGCTTCACCTGGTCATGTGATCACTTTAGTCCACTGCATACCAGTAGCCACAAAACGAGAAAACGCTTGTTGACAAAATCAACACACAGCCAAAAGTCAAGTGTAGGAAACAGTGATAAGACAAACACATATAGTACTAGAACTAGCTCGAAATCCACAGTATTTACAAAAAGTACAAACTTTAGGCTACATGTATTAAAAGTGAATTGTTGCAGCATGATTACTAACAAATCTGAATTAAGGGCATCTGTCGAATATGTAAAACCAGATCTAATATGTGGCACTGAATCGTGGTTAAAAGGCATTAATCCGGGTAGGGACCAGAGAAAAACTATAAAATCTTTTGAAGTTTTCCCAGAGAACTACATATTTCACCGTAATGACCAAGACTCCCTTAGAGGAAGTGTAGTCATAGGTGTTAAATCAAAATTGGTATCTGATGAGAAAGTCGAACTTGTCACACTGAATGCAAAATTATTTGGACAAAAGTAAAATTAAAGAGTATGAAGGACTTATACTTGGAATCATTCTATATGCCACATCGTAACATGAGTGACATCGTTAAACTTAAAGAGTCAATAGATAAATTAGCTGACGGTAACAAATATAAACAAATGATCATAGCCAGCGACTTCAACTGCCCTGACATTGATTAGGACACCCTCATAGTTAAACCAGGTGCACAAGACTGTGAAGTACAACACGCACTATTAGACACCTCTATAGATTTTGGGCTTACTCAAGTACAAAGAGAGCCAACTATATGCAATAACTTACTAGACTTTGTCTTCACAAATAATCCATCATTATGTAGATCTTCAACTAGCGTCCCTGGTATCAGTGATCATGCTATGGTTGTCACAGACTTTGACATAATTCCACACTATATCAAACAGTCAGAAATACATGTTCAATAAAGCTGATTGGGAATCTTATCTACAAAGAAAATCAAATGGAACAACTGTCAACATCCATGGAATCCCCAGTTGAGGAAATACAAATATATGGTCCACCTTCACCTCCACCATATTCACAATTATTGACAAACACACCCCGTCAAAGGTATGCTCATCAAGAAAATCACTGCTGTGGCTCAACAGAAACCTAAGCTGAATGTTAAAACACAAAATAAGACTTTATAAGCACGCAAAGAAATCAAAACAGAGGAATAATTACAAAAGCTTCCAGAAAAAGTGCAATACGGTAAAGAATTTACAGAAAAACATTGGTATACCAGCAATGAAACAGAATGGAGCCCTTGTTAACGACAACAAAGAGAAGGCAAATATAAGACACCTAAACGCAACTCCAAACATTGACAAGAAAGTCGATCAGTCAATACCATTACTGACGATAACAACAGAGGGAGTCAAAAAACTTTTAAAGAACATAGAACCATGTAAAGCCATTGGACCAGACAACTTGCCAAACATCGTCCTGAAAAACTGCTCTAAACAACTAGCACCTGGGCTGAGACACATCTTTCAGCAATCTCTAAACTCAGGCAAAATATTTTCATGTCAAATATAGATAAGAAAAAGTTGTTAAGTTGTGGTGTTGATTATATTAGACAACTTTATTTGACAGTGAACAATTATTTTTGGAAATATGTACTAAGATCCTGGGAAATGATTATTCAAAATGAGAGAAACTTCACTTATGATTCATTTTTATCAAATCCACTGTGGCTTAATAATAGCATTAAGATTGGCCATAAATCAGTATTTTATCAAGAATGGTTCAAAAGTGGTATAAGATTTGTAAATGATCTAATAGACCAAAATTGATCTTATATTTCATTTGACCAATTTAAACAAAACTATAACAAATTATTTTGTCCTTTTAAACCATTATGTCTACAAGTATTTTTCAAACACTGACTAGAAAGGGGGTCTGATCCCAGATCCCGCTTATTGTTTTATCAGATTCCCATATCCCGCTTATTGTTTTATCAGATTCCCATATCCAGCTTATCATTGTGATAATAACGTTTGTAATTTCACGTGTCTGGTACGACTTCGTTTCCAGTTTTCATGCACAAGAATTTGACTTTCACGAGTCACGCTTACAAAAAATCAGCCAATCCCATGTCACGCTTTAGACCCAAATGAGACCCACTAGAAATAATGTTATTCCTATTGGACAGTTAAAGTGGGTTAAAATTTTAGGTGAACAGAATCTGAAGTGGAAAAAGATTTTCAGAATTAATTTATTTGCATATTTTTTTAACTTTTTCTTTTGATCTGTTCTATAGAAAATGTCAAATATTTCCAATTATAATGTATTTATAATAATGACATTGTATATATCTTACATGTATTATATTGTATGTATGTCATGTATATGCTTTAATTGTTGGAAATATAAAAATAAAAAAATAAAAACTCAGGCACCCTACCCACTAATTGGTTAAAGGTGAACATCACTCTGTATTTAAGAAAGGAAATATTAACACTCTAGAGAACTACAGACCCGTTTCTCTTACCTGAGTTACCTGCAAGCTGTTTGAATATATTATATGAAAGCATATCCTTAAACACCTAGAAAGGAACTGTTTACTCACACCACTCAAGCATGGCTTTCGTTCAGGTTTCTCCTGTGAAACCCAACTTTTAACAACTATGAACGACTAACTACAACTTTATGACAAAGGCCACCAGATAGATATTGTGATACTGGATTTCTCTAAGGCCTTTGACACAGTCCTGCACAAAAGGCTCTTATCCAAACTCAAAAGTTATTGGATTGGTGGACCAAATTCTAGATTGGCTCAACATGTTCCTTACGAAACAATCTATGTGAGTCCTGGTAGATGGCGAAAATTCTAACTCTTTAGTTGTAGCATCAGGAGTACCTCAAGGCACAGTACTTGGACCACTGCTTTTCTTGTGTCACATTAATGACTTACCTGAAACTGTTAAATCTCAAGTCAGATTATTTGCCAACATTTGCCTACTATATCGGAAAGTCCAAACACAACAGGACCACCAACTGCTGCAAAACGACCTTGTATCATTGGAAGAATGGGCCACAAAATGGGGTATGAGCATGATGAGATTTAATGCAAAAAAATGTTACATGATGAGCATCAACAACAAATCATCTCATTTCTACAAACTAGACAACCACATCCTGCAACAGGTACAACAAAATCCGTTCCTTGGTGTTATTATTTCAGATGATCTGAAATGGGGTGTCCACATTGCAAAAACCGTGAAGAAAGCTATCCCAATCTAGGATTCTTGCAATGAATCCTCCGTCACTGTCAAAAGGATTGCAGGAAACAGGCCTATATAGAACTTATCCGGTCACTGTTAGAATGCGCATCAATAGTATGGGACCCTTATTTAATCAAGGACACTAATGCATTAGAATGTGTCCAAAGACAAGCAGTGCGTTTCATCAGTGGGGATTATACAAGCAAAGAGGAAGGTAGTATAAGGAGACTTATGAACAAACTAAAACTTTCAACACTTGAAAACACATGTTATCACAGTAGACTCACTTTTCTCTACAAGGTGGTCGTGTAGTTTGTACCCCTAATTCATCATAAAATGGTATGATAAAAAAGTATTTCTGCACTCTAATATATCTGTCTATTCTGGCCCATAGATAACATACATGTACTAATAGAAAATAATGAATTACTATTCCATTCAGGTTTAAAATAGGACAGAATTGACATTTGGTATTTGGAGTAATATTGGGAACAAGATAAAGACAACTTAAGATGGATGATTCAGGAAGTACTGTGGACAGACAGGAAGAACAGCAAAGTCTGGTTCCTGAGGAAATTAAAGATAAATGGGAGAGGTATTTCACTTTTATTGAATAATATGTAAGTGTTTGCTACAGGATGTTTGGAGAGGGTGTGGCACCCTGTCCCATTTTCATAATATTTATACTGGTTGAAGACCAGTTTTTGTCAGTTACAAGTTACTGTCACCTAACACTTTTGTTTGATCCCTTTAAGACATACAGAGTTTTCTGTTTTTGAACACATATTCTTGCTTTGATATAAGAATTCTAAAAAATTAAAAGAGATTCATAAATGTCATGATTAAACTCTATGCTCATCTTCAATACAGTGCAACTTGTTGATTTCAAGTCACATTAATGAATGATGGCCTTCGGCTGTTTTTTACTCTTTGGTCGGGTTGTTGTCTCTTTGACACATTCCCCATTTCCATTCTCTATTTTATGATAAGTTCATATTCACAGAATAAAGAAGAGCTTCCAAATTTAGAGGTGAAATTACAATGTGTTAGGTTCATTTGACAAACTTACATCTCTTCTTGCTACACAATATCAAAATATGCGATGAATTTTCAGATTAAGTAGTAATTTCTGTCATTATATTATAAAAGAAAAGATATGATATGGGGTATCCATCCATGACACAAAATCAGTACATGCACAGCAAAAACACAAAAATCAAAGGAACAGCGCTTTTATTGCTGTTCTTCATCTCAAAATCATAGTGAGGCCTCCAACATAGTGAAATTTCTCACCTAACTGCAAGTTGAAGATGGCCCCTCACACTGTTTTGAGTGGAATTCTTGGCCAACTGACGATCATGCCACAACTATGAGTTAATTGAAGAACAAAGCCCAATGGCAATGTAATATCAATAAAATAAATCTGGCAAAGAAATCAAATATTGACTGTCATAAATTAGCCAGACAATCACACTGAAGTATGCAAAAACAATACAAACAACCACGGGGCACATCGGGATATATGTTAGATAACTTGGCAGGAAATAACGCATGTGTAGGGCAAATAATTTGGGTATCTATATTGTGTAGGGCAAATAATTTGGGTATCTATATATAGACTTTGTAAGATGTAACACCACTAACTGGATACAGGAAAGTAGTACATATTTAAAACCAAATAGTTCCTATGCATAGGTGTAAATATCAAACTATGTAGAATATATATATATTGGTAATTTAGGTATCAAATGAAAGGTGAAGGACCTTTTGACTGATAAATTTGAAAAATAAAAAATGTAGAAATGAAATCTAAAGAGGAGGGTATATATTGCCTGTTTCTAAGATATGAAGTACCTGTTTTGGTATATCCATGTAACCAGTACGCTCTGATATGTAAAAACCAATATATTGACCCCACCCCCACGTAGAGCCTATATTCAACTGGTCCTCGTACATTTTTTGTATACCTATGAAATATCATGGAAATATTACCTCGAAGATTTGAAATCAGAGTTTATGCTACTAAACATAACTTCTGCTACTCTTTTATTTGTTAAAATATTAATTCAAAACAAAATTTCTGGAAAAATAAGTATCCAAGAAAAATTGTTAATTTCCGACAGTAACTGGTACTGGACCAGTACTGCATTATAAGTTATAAAATAGTTAAAGTTTTTATACTTCATAGTGATAAAAGGTTAGAAAAAATACTGTTTGTCATAACCAAAACAACATACCTTTCAAAGATGTTAAAAAGAAATTACAAACAAAAACCTTTCTATTGAAGAATGAAATAGTGAAGCACATTACAGTTTTTATGGTTAATCAGATAATATACCTGATTTGAGGTTATAATTTGACTTCATGTTACTTTTACAGAGAACAGATGAAGTTGAAGAAGCAGATGATTTTAACAGACTCTGGTGATATAATCAAGATAATGTCCTGTTGCCATGGAAAAACTTCAGATAATTTCTTGATAGGTGGAGTCGATATTTCCTTTGTCAAGGGCGATAATGTGAATGCATGTGCTGCACTAATTGTTCTCAATTTTCCACAACTAGAGGTACAGAACAACCACTGGTTTTAAGAATTCATAAATACTATTGTAAAATGAATTAGTGTAATGTTATGTTAAGGTGAATGTAAGGTTGTGTTTCTATTTAGTATATTACAGTTTATGTGAACATTTGTTCAAATTTGTAACAAACAACCAAACCAGTTATCACTTAATTGTAGAACTAAAAATTTAAATTGATATGGGATAAACTCTACATATATGAGAAATATTCCAAACATACATAATCATATATAAAAGAACTGACCATTATGGTCTTCAACAATAAGCATAAACATCCAACATACAGGGAGTTTAAGAATGCATCATTATTTTAAGTGCCAAGGATCATTTAAAATATGGATGATTGATTTGACGGCAAAATATTTCAGAAAAAAATAAAACAAGCATTCTGAGAGTATTGCATGGCAGTACATAGTCCCCTACCAGTTAAAAATTAATTGTACTCGAACAAAATGCTGATTTGATCTATAACTTGTCATGGTGTAAACTATATAACAAATATCAAGTCAATATCTTCAAGCATGACGAAAAAAAGTGTGGAAAACTGATAATTTAAGTGAATTTTCTAAGTCCAAGGGCCATAACTCTGCAAAAAATCATCAAACCGAAACAAAGTTCCAACTTGGTCTGTAAATTGTCATGATAAAACAATGTACCAATTATTAAATCAATATCTTCGAGAATGACGAAAAAAAGTGCAGAAAACTGAATATTTGAGTGAATTTTCCAAGTCCAAGGACCATAACTCTGCACAAAATTATCAGACCGGAACAAAATTCCAACTTGATCTGTAACTTGTCATGATAAAACAATATACCAAATATCAAATCAATTTCTTCAAGCATGAAGAAAAAAATTGTGGAAAACTGATTTGCCAGACTGACAGAAGGACAGACAGACAGACGGACGGAGTGCAAACCTAAAGTCCCCTTCGACTTCATCGGTAGGGGACTAAAAAAACAATATTAAATAAAAAAGACAGCAACTGTATGTCTTTCTACTGGCTTTGGACAGGCACAGATAGTGCTCTACCATCCAACTTGTTCAATGGTCAATAAGTATATTGTAACATTCTAACATATACTGATTAAAAGCTTAGGTTATGCATGTCAAACCAAAGAAAACATATGTTTCTTTCGCCAATAAAGTTTGATATTTTGTTTGTCTAACTATAGGCTCATGCTCAGGCTAAAAGATTTTGTGAAAGACAACTGTATTTAATTCAACCATCCAATGTAACAATGTCATTAATAAAGCAGTAAAAAAATGACTGAGATGACAATTTATTTACTTTAGGTTGTTTATGAAGATTGTCAGATGATTAAATTAACAGCACCATATATCCCAGGGTTCCTTGCCTTCAGAGAAGCATATCTCCTAGAAGATATGTACAACAAACTGAAGAAAACACAACCACAATATGTACCTCAGGTAAAATTATGTTTTGTTTGACTCAATCGCTGAAAAAATAAGTAAAACTCATTATCTGTACCAAGTATGAATATAATGTAGTGATATACTGAGACATGCTTTATTTTGAAAGCATAAAAGATCACAGTTCAATATCTACATGTATAAACAAAATAAATTTCAATATGATATGCAAAATGTTAAGAGGGGAAGTGAAAAATTGACAAGTAAAAAATGCTACTGATTTGAGATCGCATGAAACAATTATTTTGTTTTTTTAATTGATTTGTTGTAGTACAATTAAAATAAAAATGTTTTCTTCTAATGCTTATTGCTTCTTTTTCACAGATATGTTTCAGCAGTATTAAAGTGAATCAAATGAGATTTTGAATCTACCTTTAACTTACTGAGAACTGTAAATTCAGCGTGCATTTATTATTGCGATTTTTCAAGAATGAACAAAAATGCAAGTTTAATTATTGTGATTTTAGGAAAAGCTTTGTACAGATATACATTAATAGATATCAGAATGCGAGTTTTTATTTTTGCGATACTCAAGGAGTCACATTATTTGCATTAATAAAAACCTCGCAATAATTTCTGAATTTACAATACCCAAAAGTTTATATAAAGAGGCGATGGATGAGTTTCAAGTGTTGTTTTTTTAAAACATTAAAAGATACAAACACTATATGTTAACATTTTTAATATCATTTTACCTAATTGACAGGTTATAATGGTAGATGGAAATGGAATTCTACATCCTAGGGGTAAGCATGTCCAATCTTTTGACATTTTCTATCACAACCAAGCCTGTGGTTTAGGTTTAGGTAAAGTGATTTTGATGTGATGTAGATAATTATATCAATATAAATGATCTGCAGATAATATTCCCAGGATGGAATCAATGTTTAGGAGGATTTTGGAAATGAAGATTACAAATTGTTCTGAATATAAATTATTTTTATAAGTTTTTCACAAACATTATTTCTAAATTAACTTGTCTTTGTTGTAGGGTTTGGGTTAGCATGTCATCTAGGTGTTTTGTTAGACACTCCATGTATTGGTGTTGCCAAGAATCTTTTCCAAGTGGATGGAATAGAAAATGATGATGATCATCAGCTAAAAATTAAACATTTATCTAAAGGAGGTGATACATTTGAATTGGTGGGAACTAGTTGTAAAGTCTTAGGAAAGGTAAATGTATAAATGATAAGAATCATTAACAAAAATTAGAAAAATTAAATGAGTTTTCATAACATTTCCTTTTAGAACTTCTAATTAAAATGACTAAAGGAAATACTGTAAACCAACTAATTTCAGTAGCTGAACAATTTTAAAAGAATGAAAATAAATAGCTATGACTAACTTCCTCTCATATGATATCGCTTTGCTATGTAAAAAAATCCTGAAAATGAATTGTGAAGTCGGTTTGAAAGCTAAATAAAATAAATAAGTTTGTTTTCAGTAGTCTGTAGACATCTCTCTGGACACATACTATTTATTTAAAAATTCAGCAGGTATATGCTTATCATTTATAAGAGATGTAAGGCTCATGTATCTGAGATGTCCAAGTATATAAATGGAAGTTTTGTTTTCAAGTATAGAGCTACATATAATTTTTCTGGCCGCCTGCATCATAGATCATGCTACAAAAAATAAGGTACCAGAAGTTTTTTTGTTACACTATGAAACCAGACTTCTGTTTCTTTGACATGTTTGAAAAATTTAGATGATTCCCAACTTTCTGTAAAATATTGTGGATTCATTACTATTTATTGGATACCAAATATTGTGGATTTCATGGGTACAGGTAAACCAGGAATTTAAATGTTCACTTTTTCTAAAGGCTTGTATACAAACTTTGGCAAATCCACGAATTCAAATATCCACGAAAATATAAGTTTTCCTTTATCCACAAAAAGAAATGAATCCACAGTAGAATATGATAAATATTGAATACTATAGTAAATGTCGAAAATAACCAGCTCCTGTTGACATTAGCCATCTAGATTAAGAGGTAATGGGAAAAATAACCGGCTCCTTTTGACATTAGCCATCTAGATTTAGAGGTAATGGGAAAAATAACCAGCTCCTGTTGACATTAGCCATCTGGATTAAGAGGTAACGGGAAAAATAACCAGCTCCTGTTGACATTAGCCATCTAAATTTAGAGGTAACAGGAAAAATAACCAGCTCCTGTTGACATTAGCCATCTAGATTAAGAGGTAACGGGAAAAATAACCAGCTCCTGTTGACATAAGCCATCTAGATTTAGAGGTAATGGGAAAAATAACCAGCTCCTGTTGACATTAGCCATCTAGATTAAGAGGTAACCGGAAAAATAACCAGCTCCTGTTGACATTAGCCATCTAGATTAAGAGGTAACGGGAAAAATAACCAGCTCCTGTTGACATTAGCCATCTAAATTTAGAGGTAATGGGAAAAGAGTTGGTTAGTTTGTGTTTTTTTTTTTGCTTTTCATAACAACTAGAAATGACATGAATTACCTTGATAATTAAGGGAAATAAAACAAGTTTTGCATAAACAGTGAGATCATGGATGGTTACATTCTAGTGGAATATAAAGAGGAAAAAACAAAGGATCAGATTTATTTAGACAATATCCAAAAGTCAAACAACTGAAGCTCAACATTTACCAATTGAAAACTATACACCATGACATGTTTGTAATTACCTATAGGTCACCATTTGGCTTTCAACAACAAACAAAATCCATTCTGTATAGTCAGCTTTAAAAGGCCCAACTATGAGAAAAGGTGAAACAATACAAGTAAGAATATTAATGGCCTGATTTGTAACAAAACCATTTACAAAAAACAGACATGAACCATCGACAACCACTGGATTACAGGCTCCTGACTAGGAACAGACATATACATAATGTGGTGGATGAACCCTCATCTTATAAGGGACAGTGGTGTAAAAGCATAAGATAAGAACATGCTGTAAAGATCAGCAGTTAAGCATACAAAACAACTAACATAAAAACATGAATTATTGTATGACTTCTCCATGAGTCACATTTACATAAAACTTGAGGATGTTTTAATGGCCTACCTTATTTTCAATCCAGGCCCTAAGGAGTTGTGATTCTGCACCTAATCCAATTTACATATCAACTGGTCACAAGATCACACTTGATTCAGCTGTAGAGCTAGTATACAAATGTTGTAAACACAGGGTACCAGAGCCAACTAGACAGGTATTATTACTAAAAATTGTGTGTTACCTAAAGAACTTTTAATGAGGAACATATAAGGGAAGATGAGGGGCTATGAGAATGGAAAGAAAAATATCGAAGACAATGTTGAATTTAGATGGAAAAAAAATTTCATAAAACAAAACAAAGGTTGTATAAAATTATGTAAGGGCTCTTCAATGTAGAAGCATTTAATGAATATGGACCTAAACTGTTCATAAGGCTTATTAAGGTTGTCTACATCATTTGTTTTGTCAATTATTAAAGGCTGTCAAGTGATCTTTTAAATCAAGCACACTGTCTTTTCAAAACATAACTAGAACACTTCAAATTAACGGAACTTAAAAAATTAATGAAGAATGAAGAAAGACATTCTTACGTTGTTACATGTATATCCTTTTAAATTCTTGAAAAGAACTATCCAACAACAACTTGAAAAACATTTGAAAAGAACTTATTTAATGCAATAAATAGTTAACTGCTTTTTGTGATCAAGTAAGATCTGGCTAGCTTACAGCATGGACAGTGAACTGCTTTTTGTGATCAAGTAAGATCTGGCTGGCTTACAGCATGGACAGTGCTTCGATTATGCTTCTGTCTATTAATTAATGTGTAGTTTTGCATGGACAGACAGACAGAATCAATCAAATTTATTCTACTTTGTAAAATTCCAGAAATTGATTGAAGTGACGAGTAGAAAATTACAAAAAGGAAAATTTATTTGTCTTTATATTTTCTCCATTGTTTTGTTTTTTCAGGCAGATATAAAGAGTAGAGAATATTTAAGAGTTCATTTTGGAAGTGAACATGAAGAACAAAAGAATAAAGGGAAGAAGAAACAAAGGACAAAAACTACAAAGCATAGTAACACTGACTGTAACCCTGTTGATAATGTAGAAGAATTATTTGAAGATACTTGCTGTTTATTTGAAGGGAATGATACATGATATTTTTATACTCCTACCGCAAGTGAGGGTTTTTTAATCTATTTATTCAATTATTATTATCCTTATTTGGAGGCTTTATGTAAAAATCAAATTATATTTGGCACAGATATTCCCTATTTCATGTTCAGGTCATATTTTTATAGAGTCTACTCAATCGTTCTCACACACTATCAATCATTTCAAGAAGTTGTGTCGTTGCTAGAGTCAAAAGAGTAGGGGCAATAAGGCCCTGATTTGGCCCGAATATTAGTGCAAATTAAAAAGTTTTCATACATATTCTTAAATTTGTCCTAACTACACTAAGGTACAAGGTATTCAGAAAATAAAACAAATTTCACATTTAACAAGTTACCATGGCAACAAACCATGACAAAATTTGTATATTATGTATTATTATGAATTTTCCTTTTTTAACACCCAATTTTAGGTACATACTTATCAGTGTGAGCCAAGGCTCCGTGTTGAAGACCGTACTTTGACTTATAATAGTTTACTTTTATAAATTTTGACTTGGATGGAGAGTTGTCTCATTGGCACTCATACCACATCTTCTTATATCTATATATTAGATTGGAAAAGTATGTGCACATCCAAGAAACAACTTTATTTTTAGAAGGATTATGTCAATAGTTATGATAAATCATTTTGTTGTTTCATGGCTTCGCACGATGATTCCACAATGGAAATGACAACTGAAAACTGCATAGATTCTGCAGTTTTCTTCATATTGATGAAAACATGCATATTATGATGCAATTGTGACATCATAACATCAACAATCTTATGTTATTCATTTATATTTCTTGATTTTATGCATTTCCAAACATGTGCATATTTGAAATAGTTTTCAAAAACTATTTTCTTTGGCCAGAATCAGCCCTTTATGCCCCTACTTCTTTGCTATTTCAAACCAGTGAAAAATTTTAATTACGTCAAAGCCACATGAAATATTTTTTGGTTATTGAAACTATAGTATGATGGAGGGTACATGATTCCAACTCAAGAAAATACTTGTTACATATAATTATGTGAATATTATATGAATACAAAATATTGTTTTTACTGCTGAAATCATAAATTTTAACAAATTTCCAAAGAGGTTTTCAATTTTATTTTGTTTTGATTTAACAAAAAGAGGTGATTTAAAAAAACATCAGGTGTTGAGACCATAATTGTTCTGATGGAATTCAAGTAAATCTAAGTTAAAGTCAGCTAGAGAAACATGACAAAACCTGTTTCATGGTTTCACCTGTACAATATTGATTTCAGTTCTGTATAAAAATGCAAATATATCCTGCTCAAATTCCAAATGAGATGACTTGTTGGGAAAAAATTAGTTAACATTTCTGTTAAGGTATCACTAAATTATGTAGTACATGTATTATACCTGCAATGTCAGGGTTGAAATGTTGGTCTAAAATTTAAAATAAAAACAGGTTAAGGGTGGACAAGATATTTTAATAATTATTCATCATTAACACTTTTACTCAGTGATTGTGTGTTAAGAAATGTCATCAAACATAACTGATATTTGATAATAATTTAATTTTGGATGTAATGCGTCTTCCGATAGGCTGACGTTGTTTTGTTTATCAGCTCATAGACATAATTTTGTCGTGTGACCTTGACGTCATCAATGTTTTTTCATGATTTACTATGGTTTAAAATGGAATTAAGAATTAAATTATAAGAAATGACTGTACTGTCTATTCGAAATAACATAAAAAATGTGGTGCACACTTTAAAATAACCCGCTATTGGTTTTATTCAGTGTGCACCACATTTTTGATGTTATTTCTTCATAGACAGAAAAAATATTGCGGTCATTCCTTAAATGTATTTACATAGTAATACTTTAAAATGAAGTTTTTTTTTCATGGTATCTGTGATATTTTTTGTTGATTTTTATGAATTTCTATCACATTTTGTTACCTTTCTTAATATATATTTAAAATATTTTTTTAGATATTTGAATAGAAATAAATTGTTACAGTTTAGCTGTTTATTACTCTTTTTTGTGTTGTTTAGATGCTTAAGAAAGATATTAAGACTATCAATGAGTTAATATACTGTTGAATTCATTGTCAAAAGCAACATGATTCAGAAGCTTGGAACTGGCTCTGTGGTTTTGTGCTTACCACCAGTGCCAGCAGTGTTGGTCTGGATCCACAGCTGGGTCAACTCTAAAGACTTAAAAATTGGTATTAGGTGCTTCTCCACCAATCACAGTTAACCTTAGTTAGAGCAGAGGCTAGTAGAATCAGATTTAGAATAGTGTGTCAGGGAAGGTTGACATGTCTTCCTGCTTATTGTTACCATGTGAGCTAGCATGTTCAAATTCCAACTTGACATGTCTGTCTAGAACAAGCAGGGTGTATTCATATTCCTTTTATATGTTATCAACCTGAATATGCATGTAATGTTTGCCATCAGACATTAAGCAGCCACCAAACAATCAACAGCCACACATTAAGTTTTGGTTGGAACTAGGGCTAGAAATTTCCTGAAAATTATACAAAGTTCAAACTTTTTTGTCATACAGTCAGGTGTTGTCAGAGAAAATGTTTTTTTATGTTTATCATATGTATTATGTCAAGTGTTTTTTTTTGTTCCAGTTCACCTAGCTTTGAAAGTTTGAAGGAATGATGGATTAAGGAAGTTCATTAAAATGTAGATAAATAAAATTTAGTTTGTTGCTACATACTGGTTAATAACAGATTGTCACAACTGGTATATGTGTGTGCTGGATTTATTGTCTTTTGACAGATTAAAACCATACAGCACCATCTAGTTGGTATTATTGCCACTGCACAGTTCATACTTAAAGGGGTCTTATACAGTTTCACAATGTTTTGTCATTTTTGTGATTTTGAGAGATGCTGTAAATTGAGATAAGTTCTTTAAAGAATTGTTAAATAAAACATTCATAACCGTGCTTGTTTTCAAGAAAAGTGAGGTTCAAAATTGGGATTTTTTGTGTTTTAGTTGAAATTGTCTTTCTTTTGTTAACAAAATTTGCACCTGTCACATGATGATCTACAATAATGTAGTAGCTTGTAAATCAGATGAACCATCCCACAATTGTGTGGTAGTGTGTGCATCTTGAATGCAGGAGGTTGTGGGTTTGATGTCCTGCAAGGGCATACAAAAGACTGAAATTTGTATTTGCTGCTTATCCAAAAAACATACAGCTTTAAGTTAAGAAGTAAGAGCAAAAACTGATTGGCCCTGGATTTATAACAATGTGTCAAGTTATGGTGACCTATCTTTCTGCAAAATTTTACCTTTTGAGCAAGCTTCATTTAAATCCAGCTTTGTGGATCAGACATATTAATCATTCATATCACATTAACATGTAATAAAACCAGTGAATCCATTACAAAATGTTATAATATCCAAGCATTAATAGAGTTTGGCAGGAACATTGGATGAGTATACACATACATGCCACAAGCATTCAGTTGAGAATGAGGTCTGGTAAATTTTCAATTCAATGGGAATCGGTTGTTACTGTTGCAGTTGAGATCTTTCTTCTTATCATTTATCGCTTCAGAATATTTATTCAAAATTGCTGATGCATGTATTTTCAAGAACTGTCAGTCAAACCTAATCCCCAAAAAATTAATGTTTTTTTCTCCTCTCAACAAAATCAAACTAGGGTCACAAGTTCTGCAAATATCACTCAACTAGGAACCTCAAACTTCATCTGTAACTTCTTATGCTATAACAAAATACTAAATACTTTACCAATTGATTCACACATTATAGAAAACAGTGACGAAAACTGATATTTCTATGCAATTTTCTTAGTTCAAGGGCCACAATTTCTTCAATAAAAACCCAACAAGAGGCAAAATATCAACTTGATCCATCACTTCTTATGATATGGTCATACAAAAATACCTAAGCAATTAATTTGGGCATTACAGAAAAAGTTGGGAAACTGATATTTCTAGCAATTTTATGTCCAAGGTACCCTGCTAATATCACACAACCTGAAAAAAAAATGTATCTGCAACTTCTTATGATTTGTCTATATACCAAATATCTAATCAACTGATTCATGCATTACCAAACTAGATGCTCTAAAGAGCCTGTGTTGCTCACCTAGGTCTGTGTGCGTCTTCAACAATCGACACTCTCCAACATAGTAGACAAAAGGTTTTCAGATATTTTCTATGTAAAAGGACATTTTCTGAAAAAATGGTCAACTTGAACAGAACTCAAACTTGATCTGCAACTTTATAAACCAAATATTTAATCAATATATTGAAGAACAGATAAAACAAAGAGGTAATCTGGCTTTGCCGGAAGTGGACTAGAAAAACAAATTGGAATGTCTTATCCTTACAATTTTGTACATTATAATCTACAATGTATGTCAAAACACTATATGCATTGCTCATCTAGAATAGTAACACAACAATTTACACTTGATTTAAAACAACCACCAGTCAATCAGTCTATTCAAATCTAACAGTCCATATAGGAGGAGTTATGCAAATCTAGCATTCCATATAGGAGGAGTTATGCAAATCTTTCATTCCATTTAACAGGAGCTGTACTGTTGGAATAACATTTTGATTCAAATAAAAATGGCCTATATGTTCCTCTTGAATTGATGATGATAACAAATGGTGATTGTTTTTCTGGAGAATGAATGAAAAATTCTATTTCAGTATAAAAACAAACATTTATTCATGAGTCAACTCAATAATGAGAATACATTATTTGATACATCTATAATTCTTACAAAACTTAAAAGTAAATAAATAATACACAATAAAAGTAAGAAACAACCATTCTGTTTATAGGAAAACTTAAGTTTCTTCTATAAACAGTAAGAACTAAAAAATTTCTGGTATGAATTTAATTAAAATGTTAAGAGAATTTGATATCTTGATACACAATCAACACTATAAATATTTAATATATCCTATATATAAATAGTGTATTGTGTAGTTTGTATAGTTTTTGTTATCTTATCATTATATCCAATATACAAATATAACTAGTACAATATGCATGTGCATGTAAATCTTTTGTTACTATCTTATCGATTACTAAGATGCTGAAATATCTGATAAAAATTTAGAATTTCAAAACATATATATTTTACTATAAATAAATATTTATAATCAGACTCCCCCCCGGATTGAGTATAGTGAATATTTACATAATTTTACTTCTGCTCTTATGTGTTGAACACAAGTTATTGATTTTTTAATATAATGCAAGTAAAAAGATTGTTCCATATATCAAATACCAGAAATAATTTCATTAACACTCCATTTATCACTCCATTCAACAATAATTTACCAGGTCAACATCCTCATAAACCTCATAAATCTTGTTAATATCAAACTACAAATTAAATCACAAACTCAAAAATAAAACAGAAGCTTATTATTTAACAAACATATGAATAACTGATTGTTGCTTGCTTTATGTCCATTGGAAATTATTTGATGCAAACAAACATTATTTGATGATATGATTGAACAACATTTGTTAATGAACTTGTACTTTGTACACATGAATCTTTCAACCTATCTTTTATATTATTTTCTGTTCATATCTAAAAAAAATAAGTAGTATGACCTAATGACCTTCTTGTTAATGCACATTTTCTGTCCAGAATTGCCAAAAAGATCACATAGATTGACTTTACAATGGTAAATTTTAATCAAATGTTACCAGCCAAAAGGATCACATTGAAATGGCTTACAATAGTTCCTATTTTAATTAAGCGACATAATTTCTTTCACTTTACAGTATAATGTATCTCCAATTAAAGTAAAAAATATTGTTTTGCCACTGTCATTATCTAAAACTTTCTATTGATAAATTTAGAAAAAATTAAGAACCTAAGGTTCCAACTCCCTCAAGCAAAGTTGAACTTAGAGGGTTTCAATTATTCTTTTAATGTCCATTTTTAGTCATATAGATCCTCAAGTAATTAGACATCATTGCTTTTGAACTTTAAGTTTTAACATTCCTGATGAAGGTAAATTTGGAAAAGATCCTGCCATGCACCAGATTTCTTAAGTGTAATTTCCATTTACAAAAGGAATTTTAATGTTACATTTTAAAATGATCTATGACCATCATATTTCAGTAATTTTTGCTTGCTAAAACTGTAATATTATAGTTCTATATTTTTGTTCTTTTAAAAAAAAATAAATAAAACTAAAACTTCACTTTGAGGACTAAACTATCTAACTCAATTCAAGTTATGAGAACAAACAAAAATAAGATTCAATAATTTTTCTCAATATACAAATAAATAATATTTCTAAAAAGTTGTTGTTAGTACATGAATATAAGACAACCTGTGCCTGTATTGCTCACCTTATAATATTCAACAGTTCTCTAGTAAGAACTTTTACATTTTAAGTTACTCTTGTGTTGCTGATCATTTTTGCAATTTAGTTTCAAAAACAATTCAAAACTACAAAAAAAAGTAATGAACTGTTATCACAGCGATATGTCTCGCCTTTTTGAAATTTTGATAATGCAAATGTTGAAATTAAAATAGCAATACTTTAACATGTAAGTTATGCAAATATTCAAAGTTGATGAACCATGACTGAAGGCTAAACAGTCTCCATGGAATGAGATGTGCCAATGCTAATACAACTGCATACCAAATACCATTGACTTATTATAAGTCGTTCCCTTTAAACAAACCTAAACACAAACATTAACTTGTAAACTATGTAAAAGTTTCAAAGTCAATGAACCATGATCAGGGGTGGGGCTATATAATCTCCATGGGAACGATACTTGCAAATGCCAATAAATTTGCATACCAAATATCATTGACTTAACATTAGCAGTGCATCTTAAACTGATCTAATCACAAACTAATACATGTAAACTAAGCAAAAGTTTCAAAGTAAGTAGACCATGACTGAGGGGGTGGGGGCCAAATATTCTCCATGGAAATGAGATGTGCTAATGCTTATACAACTGAACACCAATTAACATTGGCCTACCACTCAATGTTCCCCTTGAACTGACCTAATCATAAAATTAATACATGTAAACTATGAAAAGTTTCAAATCAATAGACCTTGACTGAGGGGGCGGGGCAAAATAATCAAATAACCAGCTCCTGTTGACATTAGCCATCTAAATTTAGAGATAATGGGAAAAGAGTTGGTTAGTTTGTGTTTTTTTTTTTGCTTTTCATAACAACTAGAAATGACATGAATTACCTTGATAATTAAGGGAAATAAAACAAGTTTTGCATAAAAAGTGAGATCATAGATGGTTACATTCTAGTGGAATATAAAGAGGAAAAAACAAAGGATCAGATTTATTTAGACAATATCCAAAAGTCAAACAACTGAAGCTCAACATTTACCAATTGAAAACTATACACCATGACATGTTTGTAATTACCTATAGGTCACCATTTGGCTTTCAACAACAAACAAAATCCATTCTGTATAGTCAGCTTTAAAAGGCCCAACTATGAGAAAAGGTGAAACAATTCAAGTAAGAATATTAATTGCCTGATTTGTAACAAAACCATTTACAAAAAACAGACATGAACCATCGACAAACACTGGATTACAGGCTCCTGACTAGGAACAAACATATACATAATGGTGGATGAACCCTCATCTTATAAGGAACAGTGGTGTAAAAGCATAAGATAAGAACATGCTGTAAAGATCAGCAGTTAAGCATACAAAACAACTAACATAAAAACATGAATTATTGTATGACTTCTCCATGAGTCACATTTACATAAAACTTGAGGATGTTTTAATGGCCTACCTTATTTTCAATCCAGGCCCTAAGGAGTTGTGATTCTGCACCTAATCCAATTTACATATCAACTGGTCACAAGATCACACTTGATTCAGCTGTAGAGCTAGTATACAAATGTTGTAAACACAGGGTACCAGAGCCAACTAGACAGGTATTATTACTAAAAATTGTGTGTTACCTAAAGAACTTTTAATGAGGAACATATAAGGGAAGATGAGGGGCTATGAGAATGGAAAGAAAAATATCGAAGACAATGTTGAATTTAGATGGAAAAAAAATTTCATAAAACAAAACAAAGGTTGTATAAAATTATGTAAGGGCTCTTCAATGTAGAAGCATTTAATGAATATGGACCTAAACTGTTCATAAGGCTTATTAAGGTTGTCTACATCATTTGTTTTGTCAATTATTAAAGGCTGTCCAGTGATCTTTTAAATCAAGCACACTGTCTTTTCAAAACATAACTAGAACACTTCAAATTAACGGAACTTAAAAAATTAATGAAGAACGAAGAAAGACATTCTTACGTTGTTACATGTATATCCGTTTAAATTCTTGAAAAGAACTATCCAACAACAACTTGAAAAACATTTGAAAAGAACTTATTTAATGCAATAAATAGTTAACTGCTTTTTGTGATCAAGTAAGATCTGGCTAGCTTACAGCATGGACAGTGAACTGCTTTTTGTGATCAAGTAAGATCTGGCTGGCTTACAGCATGGACAGTGCTTCGATTATGCTTCTGTCTATTAATTAATGTGTAGTTTTGCATGGACAGACAGACAGAATCAATCAAATTTATTCTACTTTGTAAAATTCCAGAAATTGATTGAAGTGACGAGTAGAAAATTACAAAAAGGAAAATTTATTTGTCTTTATATTTTCTCCATTGTTTTTTTTTTCAGGCAGATATAAAGAGTAGAGAATATTTAAGAGTTCATTTTGGAAGTGAACATGAAGAACAAAAGAATAAAGGGAAGAAGAAACAAAGGACAAAAACTACAAAGCATAGTAACACTGACTGTAACCCTGTTGGTAATGTAGAAGAATTATTTGAAGATACTAATTGCTGTTTATTTGAAGGGAATGATACATGATATTTTTATACTCCTACCGCAAGTGAGGGTTTTTTAATCTATTTATTCAATTATTATTATCCTTATTTGGAGGCTTTATGTAAAAATCAAATTATATTTGGCACAGATATTCCCTATTTCATGTTCAGGTCATATTTTTATAGAGTCGACTCAATCGTTCTCACACACTATTAATCATTTCAAGAAGTTGTGTCGTTGCTAGAGTCAAAAGAGTAGGGGCAATAAGGCCCTGATTTGGCCCGAATATTAGTGCAAATTAAAAAGTTTTCATACATATTCTTAAATTTGTCCTAACTACACTAAGGTACAAGGTATTCAGAAAATAAAACAAATTTCACATTTAACAAGTTACCATGGCAACAAACCATGACAAAATTTGTATATTATGTATTATTATGAATTTTCCTTTTTAACACCCAATTTTAGGTACATACTTATCAGTGTGAGCCAAGGCTCCGTGTTGAAGACCGTACTTTGACTTATAATAGTTTACTTTTATAAATTTTGACTTGGATGGAGAGTTGTTTCATTGGCACTCATACCACATCTTCTTATATCTATATATTAGATTGGAAAAGTATGTGCACATCCAAGAAACAACTTTATTTTTAGAAGGATTATGTCAATAGTTATGATAAATCATTTTGTTGTTTCATGGCTACGCACGATGATTCCACAATGGAAATGACAACTGAAAACTGCATAGATTCTGCAGTTTTCTTCATATTGATGAAAACATGCATATTATGATGCAATTGTGACATCATAACATCAACAATCTTATGTTATTCATTTATATTTCTTGATTTTATGCATTTCCAAACATGTGCATATTTGAAATAGTTTTCAAAAACTATTTTCTTTGGCCAGAATCAGCCCTTTATGCCCCTACTTCTTTGCTATTTCAAACCAGTGAAAAATTTTAATTACGTCAAAGCCACATGAAATATTTTTTGGTTATTGAAACTATAGTATGATGGAGGGTACATGATTCCAACTCAAGAAAATACTTGTTACATATAATTATGTGAATATTATATGAATACAAAATATTGTTTTTACTGCTGAAATCATAAATTTTAACAAATTTCCAAAGAGGTTTTCAATTTTATTTTGTTTTGATTTAACAAAAAGAGGTGATTTAAAAAAACATCAGGTGTTGAGACCATAATTGTTCTGATGGAATTCAAGTAAATCTAAGTTAAAGTCAGCTAGAGAAACATGACAAAACCTGTTTCATGGTTTCACCTGTACAATATTGATTTCAGTTCTGTATAAAAATGCAAATATATCCTGCTCAAATTCCAAATGAGATGACTTGTTGGGAAAAAATTAGTTAACATTTCTGTTAAGGTATCACTAAATTATGTAGTACATGTATTATACCTGCAATGTCAGGGTTGAAATGTTGGTCTAAAATTTAAAATAAAAACAGGTTAAGGGTGGACAAGATATTTTAATAATTATTCATCATTAACACTTTTACTCAGTGATTGTGTGTTAAGAAATGTCATCAAACATAACTGATATTTGATAATAATTTAATTTTGGATGTAATGCGTCTTCCGATAGGCTGACGTTGTTTTGTTTATCAGCTCATAGACATAATTTTGTCGTGTGACCTTGACGTCATCAATGTTTTTTCATGATTTACTATGGTTTAAAATGGAATTAAGAATTAAATTATAAGAAATGACTGTACTGTCTATTCGAAATAACATAAAAAATGTGGTGCACACTTTAAAATAACCCGCTATTGGTTTTATTCAGTGTGCACCACATTTTTGATGTTATTTCTTCATAGACAGAAAAAATATTGCGGTCATTCCTTAAATGTATTTACATAGTAATACTTTAAAATGAAGTTTTTTTTTCATGGTATCTGTGATATTTTTTGTTGATTTTTATGAATTTCTATCACATTTTGTTACCTTTCTTAATATATATTTAAAATATTTTTTTAGATATTTGAATAGAAATAAATTGTTACAGTTTAGCTGTTTATTACTCTTTTTTGTGTTGTTTAGATGCTTAAGAAAGATATTAAGACTATCAATGAGTTAATATACTGTTGAATTCATTGTCAAAAGCAACATGATTCAGAAGCTTGGAACTGGCTCTGTGGTTTTGTGCTTACCACCAGTGCCAGCAGTGTTGGTCTGGATCCACAGCTGGGTCAACTCTAAAGACTTAAAAATTGGTATTAGGTGCTTCTCCACCAATCACAGTTAACCTTAGTTAGAGCAGAGGCTAGTAGAATCAGATTTAGAATAGTGTGTCAGGGAAGGTTGACATGTCTTCCTGCTTATTGTTACCATGTGAGCTAGCATGTTCAAATTCCAACTTGACATGTCTGTCTAGAACAAGCAGGGTGTATTCATATTCCTTTTATATGTTATCAACCTGAATATGCATGTAATGTTTGCCATCAGACATTAAGCAGCCACCAAACAATCAACAGCCACACATTAAGTTTTGGTTGGAACTAGGGCTAGAAATTTCCTGAAAATTATACAAAGTTCAAACTTTTTTGTCATACAGTCAGGTGTTGTCAGAGAAAATGTTTTTTTATGTTTATCATATGTATTATGTCAAGTGTTTTTTTTGTTCCAGTTCACCTAGCTTTGAAAGTTTGAAGGAATGATGGATTAAGGAAGTTCATTAAAATGTAGATAAATAAAATTTAGTTTGTTGCTACATACTGGTTAATAACAGATTGTCACAACTGGTATATGTGTGTGCTGGATTTATTGTCTTTTGACAGATTAAAACCATACAGCACCATCTAGTTGGTATTATTGCCACTGCACAGTTCATACTTAAAGGGGTCTTATACAGTTTCACAATGTTTTGTCATTTTTGTGATTTTGAGAGATGCTGTAAATTGAGATAAGTTATTTAAAGAATTGTTAAATAAAACATTCATAACCGTGCTTGTTTTCAAGAAAAGTGAGGTTCAAAATTGGGATTTTTTGTGTTTTAGTTGAAATTGTCTTTCTTTTGTTAACAAACTTTGCACCTGTCACATGATGATCTACAATAATGTAGTAGCTTGTAAATCAGATGAACCATCCCACAATTGTGTGGTAGTGTGTGCATCTTGAATGCAGGAGGTTGTGGGTTTGATGTCCTGCAAGGGCATACAAAAGACTGAAATTTGTATTTGCTGCTTATCCAAAAAACATACAGCTTTAAGTTAGGAAGTAAGAGCAAAAACTGATTGGCCCTGGAGTTATAACAATGTGTCAAGTTATGGTGACCTATCTTTCTGCAAAATTTTACCTTTTGAGCAAGCTTCATTTAAAGGGAAACTTCGCAAAAAAATGAAAAATTCATATTCTGTTCATTATGTATAAAATAGCACAAATTCATAGATATTAAAGTTTTATTCTGCAAGTTAAGAGATCAACATCGATTTTAAATTTAGAGTATCAATTCTCCGCATGCGGCCATTTTGACATCCTCCCCGAATATTGACCACGATATATCTATAAACCACAAAGGACCAAAACAAGCAGTAACCTAACGTAGCCGTAATTGAGTGTCGATATCTTGTCAAGCGTATGGTTGTTTTATCCGACAAGGAAAGCATAAACAGTTTCCCGGGTCACAAAAAAGATTATGATAGACATGGTTGTGCAACCTTTCCTAACTAACTTGATACGGAAAATGTAATTTTATATATATTATTTTTTGAATAACTAGTACTAATAGTATGGTCTGTCGTTTTGAAACTGTTTTGTTTACGAAGTATTTAAAACAAGAAATTGAAATTAGTTAAAAAGTCAAAGTTATAAATAAGTGTTCCGTGTAAAATTGTTTTTGAAAATCTAGTTTGTTCATAATTGTTTAAAATAAATTCGGACCTTTCCTTATCTGATCACCAGAATGGCTAAAGGAATTGTTCCCAGAGGTATTGTGAGGTGACACGTACAGGTATTCAAGCGATTTCCTGTCGGGCTTTAAAACTGTTATTACACAATTACATAAAACAAGTTCGTGCATCACTTCTTTTTCTGGGGGTATTGATCAGTGTACACGGCCGATAACATGTAACTTCCATTTTGAATCTATCAGGTGTAATATACAACTTTGTATAGCGTATCCGATAGTGATATACTAGTCATTGCTAAACTCATACGCTTGTTTATAAATAACATTTTTGGTGTAAAGAATGATATTTATGAAAATTTAAATAATTAAAAAAAAAAAGATTTGATGAAATAAAAATCTATTTACACATTTTCCAAGGGTAAATTGGGGAAAATGTAAGTATATACTCGTCAATAATTATGGACATTTTGAAACATACAAATATTGATTTATCAAAATGTGCGGCACTTGTCGATCATTGGTTTATACGCTTATACGGAACTATGGATAGTCGCAATATAGAACTAATATCATACAAGTATATTGAATATACGAGAGAAACATCCAGAACCAATCTGATTTAAATACAGGTCGATATCTAACTTGCTTTGGTTCATCCAGAGACATATAATACAATTGTATTATATGTCTCTGGTTCATCGAAGCTATATGCATAGTAAAATCACAGATTTATAACTCAATAAGATTATTTCGAACAGTTTAAGAAATTCGTCATCATCACATTTTCCTGGTCCGACATGCATGTTATATATATATGCCACGAGACGTGCACTAATGATCCCCAAAAGCCTATTTGAAGAAATAAAGAAACTTCACTCCGGATAGACTGATGGTAGTTGTATTAACGTCTGGTCAGCTAGAGGGTTGATTTATTTATTTAGTTAGCTTGTAGGGGATTAAACCACTCTTAATATTGCACTTATGCATTAGATATTAAATGACAGTACCGGTAATATAAGAGAAAATATAAATACGAAAAGTCGCATATCAGATAGAAAAGGACTCACCATGAACTATACGATTGTCATTCTAAATCGCATAACGGACAGTCATTTAAATGCATGCATGTACGCTGTGATAAAAAGGGGTGTCGCAGTTGCAAAGTATTCATCATAAATCTATTTCAAGTTTATTATTTCCTGTTATTTTTATAAGTTAACGCAGAGACATGTATACACTAGATCTCTATTTAACGACAAGCAACTATATAAATATCTGAATCTGATGTGACTTACAGTTCATCTCTTTCTTTTTTCTCATTTTATTTTTATTTTTGCAGGAATATACACATTGTAAGATATACTGTTCCTCGATTTGGGGGGGTGGTCTGAGGTCATGTCTATCTATCTATGATTAACCTTGACATTTCCGGGAATAACAGAGCTACTTGTATATTACCTGAATGTGGTTAGGTGACGTCCCATGAGGTCTTACGTATACATGTTCATATTTATAATAGTTTCTGATATAACAATTAGGTTTTATAACATTCACACTTCTGCATGTTCTGTATACCAAATTCGTATCTTTTTTTCAGACCGAATGAGGATGTGAATATTTTCCAGGATCAAATTCATTTCGGGATTTTTTTTATTTCTTTGTATTAAATCTCAGAAATTTACAGAATATACTGCTTGTCCGCTTTAGGAGTTTTCTTGTCAGTTTAAACAGACGTATATATGTCTCTGGTTTAGAGTGGGTTTATGAATGAATGATAAGTCTTACAAAGGTACAAGATATCAAGCACAGTGAAAATTGATTTCGACGTTCTGTCTCCATTTAAAAAAGGAAAGTTGACGTTAGATTGATTCTGCTAATTTTTTTAAACATCGTTGGTCAAATAGCTTAGAATTATATAAATACGTTGTCATTCCTGATTAGGTAAATGAAGATCGCTTTGGACGACAAAACTATATTTTTGTAACTGATAATTTTCTCTGCACATTTAAATATTCAAGGTTACCGATGATAATTTAAAATAGTACTGTTTTAATTTATACGCTCGTTTTCGTGGGCCATTTATAATATTTATATAATTATTTTATAAAAAGTGATTCAGAATTTCGATGTTACAACAAAATACTCACCTATTTATTTAAAAACTGAGCAAATGCAAAATGTTAAAAAAATATATATATAACGGCGATTAAGGTATTTTGCCACCATATTCCTCCCTTAATAATTTTAAAAAATCTGTCTCATACCTGCAACGGTGAACTCTTGAGGACAAACACCACTCTAGCAGAGACATGTCTCTGACTCTAGTGAAGATCAAAGGATTAAAATTACATAATGCTAATCTTTTAATTACCGTGAATTTAACCACGCCTTTACCAGGTGGTGTCAGCATAATACACATGCATTGTATTTACACAGTACTAGACTGAAGCAAGGATTTGTATAGTAAGACAAATCCTCGACTGAAGTAATAGGGGAGAATACAAACGTGAATTTCTATATACTATCAGTTATATATGTTGTTCAAAATATCCGTCGAAAAAAAATCATAAAAAAATTCTATTGTATGATTTGCTTTTATTACTATAATCATATCAGAAATCCTTAAAATATAAATCGTAAATTTTAATTTAAAAAAATGCACGGCTGATCACTTTTCTTTCTGAATTGTTAGTTGGTTAATAGCTACGCCAAAAGTCGTCGATGCGCTTTAAATAGCGTTATTAGATGATTAACGAACAAGACTTACAATGAGATTTATTCACTCCCGGCATGCAAAAAGACTTAAACTACGTCACATAAGTCAGGAAGTTGGAATAAATAGAATTATTAATTCCCAATTTTCTTCTTTATTAGTGTTCATATCCAGATAAAACTTGGTGAATATGTTTTTAATGGTATTATGAACATAATAAGATGATAAGTAAAAAATCGCGAATTTTCCCTTTAAATCCAGCTTTGTGGATCAGACATATTAATCATTCATATCACATTAACATGTAATAAAACCAGTGAATCCATTACAAAATGTTATAATATCCAAGCATTAATAGAGTTTGGCAGGAACATTGGATGAGTATACACATACATGCCACAAGCATTCAGTTGAGAATGAGGTCTGGTAAATTTTCAATTCAATGGGAA